TTTAAATTGAAAAGGAAGAATCGAACTTTATTTTTCTGTAAACAGCACCTCCGAGAAAAATTTTACAGCGTTCGTGCATTTCGTCGAGTTTGGCAATTTTCAATATGACAAACATGGGCTCATATTTAAATGATTACAGCGATGATGGTGTGTAAAACTTAAAATCGGGAGATGCTACCTTAAAGTAGAAGTTTCAAGCTTTAATTTAAATGAATACTCATCTTCGTACGATGATTTTTCACGGAGTTATCGTTGATCAAAGTTGACCGATTTTTATCAAAAATTGTTCTATGCTTTAATTATTCTGAACAATATATTTTTAATTGCTTTAATTGCTCGTTTCGCCTCTGTTCATTTATTGTTAGGTCTGCGAGAGGGTTTCTCAATCTTAAGTCAACCTCCAGATTTTTCAAAATTAACTATACATGTCGGGTCTGCCAATGAGATTCTCGATTTTCCAGACTTCGCAATTCTCGCTCCAATGTTAGGTCTGCGTTAGGTGAACAAAATTTTTCTCCGAATCGACTTCGCGACGACAGTCAAGAACGAACTCCCAGCTTTTCAACGAGTCCAAAAAAATTGCCCCACGATTTTTCCTCGCTGATTTATCGCAGCTCGAATGAAAAAAGTGTGGCCCCGGCAGTCGACCAGCGATCATCGAGTTGTGGTGTCAAAAAGCATCGATGTTCGAAGTGCCGTAGCACCGTGGAAAAAAATTGCAGGCAGGTCTACCCACGCTCGTGTTAAAGGGCGATGTCTGTACTTTCGGTAATTCTAGCTCGATTTTTCCCCAAAAAATATTGCTGCGAACGACGGGCAAAACAATCGCCAATATCTCCGAATAGTTTTCTCCAATAAAATATTGCAGAGAAAAGCAGACCAAAATAAACAAAAATCGTCAAATCCTCCGCATTGTTTGCTCCGAAAAAAATGTTACAGCGAAAGACTGCCGAAAAGGAAGAAATTATATATTTGTTCCCTATGACATTAAGCACGAAGCCCTTGAATGACGTGTTCGAACAACTTATCCCATTTCTCGCCTTGTTCGCGTGTATTGGAATTCCGCGGCCAATAAATCGGTCCATACGAAACAGGAACTGGACCACATTGAAATTCCCGTCACAAGCATCCCGGTTTTTGCCGTTCGAAATTCGCCAGGTGAATATGAAATTCCGTTCCGCGCGACGATGACGTCGCTCGTGCGTCAATCATATTCAGGCTTTTCTCGAATTTGTAATGGTAGACTTCCGCTGGCGTCACCGACAGCCGTTCGTTCATTTCCGTTCCACCTTCTTTTCTTTTTTTCTTTTTGCTCAGCCGCAGCCTCTGTCCCAGCGACAAAGAGGTCGCGGTTTTAATGAGAATTGGCCTTGAGAAGATCTCGAGATCCCGGCGTTCTCGGAGATTTATTTCTATTATTCGTTCCTCTCCGCCTGGACATCTCTGTGGCCGCGACGCGAACGACGAGAGACATTCGTCGTTTGAAGTTTCACGGTTTTCGATGAAATATTTTCGCGAGACCGGAGAGTCCCGCGGGACTCGTTAATGCCCGAATTAATCGAACAGCCCGGAATTTCGTTCTTCGCTTTTTCGGGGCGAGAACGCGTTCCGCGTTCGATTCGTTTTCGCCGTCGAACGAATCGGAATTCTACGTCGGCGGTTTTAATGGAACGAACGGACACAGCGCGGCGTGTCTCTGCATTCGGCGAAAGCAATCGCGCGCGGGTCGATCCGTCGGATCGATTTTCCCGGCAATTTTTGCCATGCGATTCCTCTAATTCGCTGCACGGAATTAGTTGGCGAATTTCCTGAATTCGGGGCACGCCGTGCCGACGGTAATGTAAAACGACGTTTTCGTTTCGACGTACAGCGCGAAATTATTTCCGATACGCTGGGCAAATGTCAAACAGTCCCGAATGAAATGGGATAAATGTCCATCAGCGTCCGGAGCTCGGTTTTATAAAAAGTAACGGCACGGTTAATGGTACGCTGATCTTTCGGAATTACTTTTTTTAAATGAAATCGATAAACATGCGAATCCAAAATTTTGTGGTTTCGTTCGTCGATGTTTGATGAACGTGTAAAAAAATAGCGATGCATAAATCGCAATAGTTCGGAGAATATTAATTAGTGTCTCAAATTGTTGATAGATGAACAGAGCTATATTTAAGAATTTTTTTAAACAAAAGCGATAAACACACGAATCTAAAACTTTGTGGTTTCTTTCATCGATGTTTGATGAACCTGTAAAAAAATTAGCAATGCATAAATCTCAGTATTTCGAAAAGTATTAATTAGTGTTTCAAATTGTTAATAGATGAACAGAGCTACATCTAGGAATTTTTTTAAACAAAAGTGATAAATATACGAATCTAAAATTTTATGGTTCCGTTCATCGATGTTTGATGAACGTGTCAAAAAATTAGCGATGCATAAATCGCAATAGTTCGGAGAATATTAATTAGTGTCTCAAATTGTTAACAAAAGGACAGAGCTACGTCTAAGAATTTTTTCAAACAAAACCTATAAACATACGAATCTAAAATTTTGCAGTTTCGTTCATCGATGTTTGATGCACCTGTAAAAAAATTAGCAATGCATAAATCGCACTAGTTCGAAGAATATTAATTAGGTGCTGCTGATTATTGATTCGCGGAACGAATTGGACGACCTGGTCGTCTTCGGTCATTGCATTGTAGGTGATTTTCGGGTGCGGTGCGGTCGATCGTTAACGTTAATTAACGAGGCTATGTTAATTAATCCATGGCTATCGGTGACATCGCCAGGATAATGTGTCGCCGATTAGCGACGCTCAGATGGCCCGTGAGCGGCCATTTGACCCGTGACCTCGCGAGAATTTCGCCGGAGCCGCGCGGAGTCGTTTATTGCACGCTCGGGGTGCTTGTGATCCGATTAGAGGGAAATCCGTGAGCAATCTTTTCATATTACTGCATCGATGGCGGGACCATAAATTGCCGGGACGCGGATAGTGCAGGCGTGTTGACTTTTCCGGACGCTGTCTCCATCTTGCAGGAGACCGGGGCACCAGGTTTTCCCGAGCATTTCCGTCAGCGTTCTCTCGAAGAGCAAATTCATTTGGCCGACGAGTTTCTCTAATTGCATTTTGTTAATTAGAACGACGAAGACCGGCCGTGATTTATTTTGTTAATTACGGGCCACGTGAACGTTGACTGTTGCGCGGAAATACCTTCGGCCGGTTCAACATATTTTCGAACGTATTAAACTGCGCGCGAACTGTGTTCTCGCGAAAGTATACGATTTGTTATCGCACGTTTCGCGGATAATTTTCCGCGAAAACGAGTACTAAGTTATCGAACGAGTTCGCCAATTTGCGCTGCATCTCCGGCCGAAACTCCGGATTCCGCGGTAGATTGAATTATTGATAAATACCGTCGAGAGTTTAACGAAGCATAACGCTGGAATTTCCATATGAAAACCACCCCTTGCCCCCTCCCCCTCAGCAATTCCTTCCCATAAATTTCCCGGCTCGTCGAAGGTATTATTCGGATCTCCCGGGGAACGAGTATTATTTTCTGCATAAACGGTTCTGTTAGTTCGCTGAAAATTCGAGTGGAACACGCTCGAGGAGCTGCTTAAGCTCCGGCACGATGAGATAGAACCGAGATACGAGGCTAATTGATCCGGCCGGATTAGAAATGTTTCTGTTTCTGGTCCAAGTCGACCGAAATTAGACCCATTACCGTTCTATTTTTAGACCAGTTAAGGACTGGCGTATGTATAGGAGACCAGCAGCAGCCACCCAGATGTCAATGCGAATGCCAATGTTATTTGTGCCCCCCCTGTGTCCGCTGAGAACCACTGCCCCGTTTGACAACCACTGCTTTCTCCCGCAGAGCCGCTGTGTTTCGTAGCGAACACCGATTGTTTCGGCAGACCCTGTGTTTTCTGTGTACCTTTGTCCACTGTGCTTTCCGACGAACGCTGCGTTGAGAACCGCTGCTCTTTTTTGATGACTACTCTTGTATTTTATTTCATTTTTCTAACAATCTCTGACCTTAAAATCCACTGTCTTCTTTCTCAACTGGTACGCTTTGTGAATTATTTTTTCAGAATCACTGCGTTTGAGAAGCACTGCCTTTTTGACATGATCATTCTTGTATTTTATTTCATTCTTCTGACGACCTCTGGCCTACTCAAAATCCACTGTCTTCTTTCTCAACTGGCACGCTTCGAGAATTATTTTTTGAGAACCACTGCGTTTAAGAAGCACTGTCTTTTTTTATTACCATTCTTGTATCTTACTTAATGTTTTTAACGACCTTTGGGCCTTCTCAAAATCCAGTGTCTTTTTTCTCAACTGGTACGCTTCGTGAATTATTTGTTGAAAACCACTGCCTTTGAGAAGCACTGTCCCTCCACGCTCTACTGTCAAACGTTCAAAAAGTAATGCGACATGAATTTTATAAATCGTAAATCCCTGTACGTTTGATATAAACCATGAAACGCAACGCGAGTTGGCAACCGCTGCTCGGAAGGCGTGGCCACGCCCCTCCTCTTTCCATGGCATGCGCATATATCCGACACCATACGTTCCGATACGATCGAGTATGCTAGGTGTCCACGAAAATATTCGATTTGTCGTTGAACGAAGAAGCTGTGACACCTGCTATTGGAAATTCCTGTGCAGTCAACGGCGCCGCTTAAATTCTGCACGAGGCAGTCACGGTAGCTGCATAATGTTGCGCAACAGGGCCAGATCCCGTTGCCGAAGAAACCGAGACGGTGTACAGTTCGCAACTTTGAAACGCCACGCTTGCATGTCGGTAGAGGGCAGCTTTCGAAGCATCAAGTAGACAAAAGTTCGTTGCAATCTGAATATCCTGGCTCCGCCCACTCCCGCGACTCCGCCCCGTTTCCCCGCCCGCTCCCAACGACCAGTTTATCACCCTCTACGCCTGCTCATCCATGAGAACGACGAAACACGACGCGCGCTAACTGTGTCTCCCCTTTATTTGCAGCCATGGCGAGGACCTCATCGTCACGCCCTTCGCGCAAATCCTTGCGTCCCTGCGATCGGTCAGAAACAACTTCGTGTCGCTTACTAATGTGCCCCCGAACAAGTGAGTATTTATACAAATTTCGTTTCGTTGCGTTCAACGTCCGTTTTTTGTTTTTTATTTCGAAGAAGACTTTACGGAGAGAAATATGATTTTCGTGAAAATCTATAAAAATTAAATACAGTGAATTCTCCCTAGTTGTCCTTCAGCTTGTACACAGAAATGGATAATTTCGGAACAGATGATACGATTATTCGAGCATCGTTTTCCCAAATTGTGCATTTTTTTAAGCTGAGGGTCGATTAGGGAGAATTTACTCTTCCTATAAAAATTAAATATCTATAAAAATTAAATACATATAAAAATTAAATATTTATAAAAATTAATAGATTATTATGAAGAATATAATAGAATCAGATGGTCAAATGTACCCCGAAATAAATCGGACGAACAGATTAAACTCCGTATCTCCTGCTACATTGAACGGAAAATTCTGAAAAAATTTACGGACATTCTGTTAGATGCGACGCGTCGCTCCGAATTTTTTCAGATTTTTTAGTCGCCGAATCGATTGTTTAAAAAATCCGGAACACCGATGATATTAACGTGACCGCTTCGACGAGAGGTCGTCGTTTCTGAACTTCCGAATTTTTTAAACAATCGATTTTGCAACGAAAAATTCGGAAAAATATCGGAGCGTTCTGTCGCGGCGAGTAGAACGTCTGCAAATTTTTCCATAATTTACCGTCGCACGTGTCAGAAGATACAGAGCGCTTCATCCGTCTCCCCACTTTTCGTGAAAAATGCGACCGGACTTCGCGCGTACACCGACTTCCACAGTTCACTCGATCGTCTGTTTGCAGATCACGAAGGAGTAGCAGCGCGCAGGGCAGCAGCACACCGCAGCCCAGGATTTTGGCGCAAGGAGGTAAATTTTGTGCGTTTCCATGCGTCGAAAAGCGAGATCGAAGCCCGCGAAATTTCACGGAAGACTGGGCGCCGCTCGCGTTTCAACGGCTTCTCGTTTCCATTCAGAGCCGAGCCATTCAGGTTCGAGTTTCCATAAAATTTCGTTGCGAAGAGAAATTGCGCGGGTTTCGAATTTCGGTGCCTTTTGTTTGGCTATACGGATGGAAAATAGCGTTCGCTGCCCGGTCCAGTTCGGGAAAATTAGCAACGGCGTCCGAGCGATCGCGATCGCCGTTCGGACGCGAGCCACGTGTCCACCGACATTCTGACGTCAATCTGCCTCTCGTATTCTTGTTTTCCGTTTGAACGTTCTGCCGGCTCACGTTTATGCAACCTTCCACCTTCCGCAAGGTTTCATATTTTCCTTTAGCCGCGCCCACTCCTGATAATCTCCTCGACGCTCTAATAGAGGTACTCCCGTTCAAGCGGGATCTTCTGACCTTTCACAGTGCCAGACCATTTTCGAGAGTGTTCATTAAAAATTCGAGCCTCCGGTTTTCTCTTAGCAATCCGCGCTCGTCCCGCACTGTCGCGTCAAAGGACCCGTTTTCAAACGCGGAAACGTCGAGATGTCAATGAAAACCTGCTTCTCACCGGAGTCCAATAAATTCCATTTCAAATAATAAATATCATATTACGAATTAAACTAATATTTCCTCTGCTAATAATAATAACGTTAATTATAATAATATAATAGTAATTAATAATATAATATTAATAATATCACTAATAGTAATATTAATAATATTATTATTAATAATAATATTAATAATAATATAATAATAATAATTTGAGCGACACGCAAATACCAAGTAATATTTTCCTCGAGTCAACAACACCTCGCCATTTTTCAAATTTTTGTTTGATAAAATTCCGACCTCTGAACTTTGCAGTGCTTTTATCTCCGCGCGAGCAGCACGCAAAATTTGAGAATTATTTTCTTGAAAACTGCTCGACCGACCGACCGCAAATTTTTTCCCACGTTGTTCCGGAAGCCTTGGTCTGCGCGTAATAATTTTCTTCCTCTTGCCGGAAATAATTATTATTAACAAGTGAACAATGGAAATTCGGAGCAGCTAGATTTCATACTTCGGCCCGCCGTTCGAGATTCTCTTCCGCGCTGAGATTTTTCAAAAGAATTTGCCTCGCTCAAAGCTCGCGCTGGTTACGTCGCACGAAAAAAAAAACGGCGTTGTTGCTTTGACTCGGTAAAAATTATTCCGCGCAGAAGAAGGAATTTCAAATGAGAGATATCAGGAGCTGTACTTGTACTCGCGAGCCAGCCCGTTTCCGTGCCGCCTCTGCACGCAGTTTTCAGTTAAACAATCCGAGCCGCGATCGCTCGAGGCTCGCGAATGTTCCGCACTGCACCACCATCATCCGTTCCCGACATCCTGTAAAGATAATCCGGTGCTCCTTTCTCTGCTACACGATCCCGGAGATTCAATTAGCAGGCACCGATGTATCACCGCCCACGTACGACAACAATCCCCGAAATGGCCCGCTTAATTTAACATTTCGCAAAACTAACGATCATCGTTGTTGCTCGGTGATATATCTGCGCACCGTCCGTATGTCGGTTCGTACGATCGTGTCGCATGTCAAATTATAATATTCGAGCATTTTTCGAAGAATTTGCCTTGTTCAAACTCCTCCAAACCTGTCAATACTACTTCAAACTAAGTAGCTTCGCTATTTTTTAATTACTTCGAAATCTACCGATTCTTTCGTGACTAGTTCTGGTAAATTCACTTACCGATGAATATCGAGTGTTATTTTTATTAATAGGATAACAATTTTTAATTTTTAACTTTCATTTGATTTTTTTACTGTTTTTTTAGTTTTCGTTCTTTTTCTTTTCACTTGTGTTATTGCTCTTATTTGTCGCTAAATAAAATAATACTGCAATATGAATAATAATAATATAATGTACAGTGCATAATATAGTACATAATACAGTATATAATATATAGTATAGTACATAATATATATTATAATATGTATTGTATATTATATGATTATTCTTCAAATTGCAATATTATTTCATTTAGCGAATACGACAAATTTATATAACAAATTATAGTACATATTATGTACTACATTATGTACCAGAATATGTACTACAATATGTACTACAGTATGTACATTTAATTTAAAAAACCTCGTATTTATTAGACTGTCAAATTTGACTCAAATCTTAACGATACATAGAATTCCGTGACTTTCATCGGTAAGTGTATTATGCGTACGGGTCAACGAGGACCCGGTAACAATTTCGCGAGAACGCGACGTTTCTATCTGCGCGAGGAAGAGTTCTTTGAAATGGCTCCGCGAGAGCGATACCCCGGTGCCCCGCTTTCGATGTTACCCGTGTCGTCTAACGTCTCCGTTTCCTTTCGCTTTTCAGAAGAGAACTACCAAAAGCTCGCCGTGGATACGATGGAGGAGCTGGACTGGTGTTTAGACCAGTTAGAAACCATTCAGACGCATCGATCCGTGTCCGACATGGCCTCCCTCAAGGTAGGTTCTGCGTGTGGATACTCATTTTTTTCTCCTTCTTTTCTCGCGCCCCGCTCTCGATTCCGAGTGAATAGTCGCCGCCGCGGCCAGTTCAACGTTTCTGGGCAATCTTTTCGCGGCGAGAGCGCGGCGAAGGGGGGTTCGGCACAAGGCTGACGGCTCTTCAGGATGCAGTGTTTAGGGAAGATTGATGCCAGCAGCTTTTGCGAAATTGGTAGGGGAATGTAGGGTACCAGCTCCGGGCTGTAGATGACTTGCTCCGTTAAAACTACCATCACCGATGCACCGATCCTCGAATATGACTGCAGAAAGTCGCTTTTCTTCCTAACGGAACGTACTGTGCGTCAGAAATGAGAATAATTAATTTTCGGTCGCTGGAAGATTGGTTTGAAATAGTTTGAGGCGGTTTGGGTCGGTCTGAGCTGGTTTGAAATGATTTGAAGCGGCTTGGACCGGTTTCAGTCGGTTCAAAATTGAATAATCTGATAACTGATTCAGTGGAATTGACGCTGCATTCAATTTCAGGCGCTAGAAAATTGGTTTGAAATAGTTTGAGGTGGTTTGGGTCGGTCTGTGCTGGTTTGAAATAGTTTGGGCCGCCTTGAATTGGTTTTAGTCGGTTCAAAATTGAATAATTTGATTTGGTCGTCGCTGTATTCAATTTCAGAAGCTGGAAAATCGGTTTGGGCCAGTTTGGGGCAGTTCAGATCGGTCTGAGCTGGTTTAAAATGGTTTGAATCAGCTTGGACCAGTTTGAGCCGTTTCAACATTGAATAATCAGAAAACTGATTCAGAGAATCGTCGCTGCATTCAATTTTTGGTCGCTGGAAAATTAGTTTGAACTAGTTTGTGGCTGTTTGGATCGGTGTGACTTGGTTTGAAACAGTTTGGACCAGTTTGAACCGGTTTGAGCCGGTTCAAAATTGCATAATCAGAACACTGATTCAGTAAAATCGTCGCTGCATTCAATTTTCGGTCGCTAGAAAATTCGTTTGAACTAATTTGAGCCGATTCGAGCCAGTTCCAGCCAATTCCTGCCTGTTTGAAATTGTGCAATCTGAAAACTGACTCACTGAAATCGTCGCTGCACTAGCAATTGTACAATTCTCTGAATCCTCGATCCCCGGCGATCTTTTTCGCTGCATCTATGAATATTTATCGCAGCGAATCGCCGGATTAATTCGTCGAGCGGCTCCCGCGATAATTTCGCTATCGTCGACGTCGCGTCACCGTGCTTAATCCCAGCGGAAGCGACGACGTCACAGAGCTCGATTGACATTTTCGTGCACGTATCGGAGCGGACGTCGGTGCCGTCGCCGTCGATGGACCGACGAAAGCGACGAAACGTGGAATCGGGACGTATTTCGCCAACGGTGCCGATGACTCAGAAACGTGACGCTGGTTACGTGCACTCGTGACTAGGCTAATCTCGATGCATTCACGTGTTTACGAGCGACTAGTCATCGGCGCTGCATTGACAATATTAGTCACTCTATTTTCTGAATTGTCCTTTCGTCAACCCCCGTCCCGTTCTTCACGTCAATTCGTCACAGTTCCCACGCGGATTATTTCCTCGCCCTGAACAAATAATCGCTCCAAAAGCGGAACAGCTGACAGCCGACCGCTTAAGATGGAAATTACGAGATTAATTATTTATTGCAACTTGATACATCAGAGGCAGCTCGTGCTGCACCAACGAGGCACGGACGAGGATTTTAACAGCTTGTTGGGATATCGTTCGATTTGAGTGGAAAATTTCGGTACGCGCGAATCTGTGCACAGTGTTCCGTTGAAACAGATGGAGCGAAATATTTTCGTCTGATTTATGGAGACGCCGTTGGACTCGCGTTAGCGCCTTTGATATACTGCAACAACAAATCCTGCGTTGCCATAACGATACTTCGAATAGATCGTTTGGGAAGCAGTTCGGGCTGCAGTCGTACGTCTTCATCGATCGAATTTTACGAAACGTGCACACTTGCAAAGTGTGCGAAACTCTGCGAAGTGTGCAAATTGATAAAATATCCGAAATCACAGAACGTCAATTTACAAATATAATATTTATATCACAGAAAAATATACTAATATTATTATATTAAATTCTGTAATACAGAACTTAAATTTTACAAAATACGTAAATTTGCAAAATGTCTACATTTACAAAATGTGAACATTTACATGATGTAGAAAGAATCTATTTCTATTCTCTTGCGGTGTAAAATCGGTGTGAAATCGAGCAGTTAACAACGTGATTTGCAACCAATTTTTTCTTGGAAAAGCGCGTCGATCTGGTTTAGACGACTCCGCGAGTCCGTCCGAATTTTTGCGGATCTCTCTGATTTTTCTTCGACGTTCTGAGGTCGTGACGCTTGTTCAAACGATTTTTGCGGCACGAGGTGAAATCGACCTCGACAGAATCGACAGGCAGAGACCGCCTCCTCTCCCCCTGACGAACACGATTTATAGCTGCGGGCAGCCTCGCGAATTCTTGGAAAGCCAGGCAGATTTTTGACCGGGCAGCCTCGACGTCCTCTTCTAGGAAACGATGTTCCGGCGGCGAGCTTCGGCACCCTTTGAATTTCGCGCGGTTTCCACGTGCCCGGGTCATGGCAGGTCGATTCGAAACAGTTCTGGAACACGTGCCAATCAGAGGAAACATTTCGCTTGAATTTTTTTCGGGTCAAGGTATCATCGGTTTCCGACTTGGAACACGTCCCGAACAAATTTATTCGAGGGAAATCAATTATAAATCATGGAAGTAGAGGATTCGAGCTTTAAAACGAGTCTAAATTTATTGCCCTATGATTTTTTCCCACTAAATTATGGGTGTTTGAAAATTATCCATTTTTTGAGAATTAAGAGATCGCGAGGAATTTGGAGCGATCGAACTTGTTAGTCTTGTCTACACCGTAAAGCAGCTAAAAAAAATCGTGGAGTAGGTTTCGAGGGGTCGTTGGAAAGAGGAGACTTCGGTCTTCAAATTCGTATAAGGTTCAGTGGCGAAAAAAATTTTTCGGTGATTTGAGGGACTTGTCTATATTCATCATTTTTAAGGGAAAATGTAGCTTCAGTTTCCAATTTGGTACGTCGTAAAAAAAAATCTGCAAAGAAAATTTGCCACTGGTGCTTAAAGTAGAGATTTCAAGCTTTCAAATGAGCTAAAGATCATCGTTTTAGGATTTTTTCTCACGAAATTACTCCAGTGTGAATATCATCGATTTTCGGAAAATTATGAATTTATATGGAATTTCTACGATTGCACTTGTTCCTGGTTTTTGGGCTATAAAACAGCTAAAAAAAATCGCAGAGCACATATCGAGATGTCATTTGAAAGAGGGTGCTTCAATCTTCCAATCCGTATCGAATTTATCGATAATAAAAATTTGCGCAACCTTCTGGATAGGTTTTAATTCTCTTCTCTTAATTGGAGCATGTTCGCAGCACAAATTTCATTGCAGCAAAAATTTCATTGCAGTAAAAATTTCATCGCAGCGTAAATTTAATTGTGCTACAACTCCTCGTGACCGAATTTCAACGAAAAATCGTCAAACTCGGAGGCGAGTATAATTCAACTTCAAATCTCCCGCCGCGGGTCGCGCGAGAATGGCGCCAAATTCGAACGTAAACCCGTGTAAGTCCTTTTTTCCGGTTCCTTTCGCTTCAAACCGGTTCCCGTCGTCTCGGAGACGATTTAATACGGCGAGCGAGAGGCGACAGAGAAGACACGTACGGCCGGCAGAGAATTTATAATCGCACCGGGATTGATTTGTGCGGCGACTTCGCGCGCATTGTTTAAATGTGCTAGCCGCTGTTTGGCTCGGTTTATTTATATGGGCCGGCGGAGGAATGTTTACGGGCTGTTTTCGTTCGGCGAAGTATTACGAAGCGATTCTGCGATGTTTATACGATTTTAACCAGAAAATAGAAACTTTCGTTGCTGGTCTCGCGGCGAAGAGCTCGACTTTGACCCTTGAACGATATTTCGCGGGATCGGTTGCGCAACGAGCTTTCACGGTCAAGGCGATTGATAATGCCACAATGGAGCCTGATAAATAGCCGTCCAAGGCCGTCTGGGAAATTCTGCCGGCCAGCGGGACTGCAGCTAAACTTTGAACTTGGTCGATGGACTTGTACTTTGCGCTCACGCATTTCGAAAAATTTCGACGCTCGCCCAGTTTCATCAAACAAACAGAATTAATTCGTAAAAAATGAAGTGCTTTGGTCGTTTTTTAAAACATCAGTAAGACTTTGCATTTACCGTTTTACACATACATTTATGTATTTATATGTACATATTTTTTTCATTTTTATGTACTTACATATTCATATAATCTTTTGCATGCACACATGTATTTATATATATTTTTCTATGTATTTATTTATTCAGATAATTTGTTACATTGTGTTCACGTGTCACACGTGTTCATTTTTACATGCACTTATGTATTCGGATATTAGTTTACGTGAAGAAAAATTTAGACGATCAAAGACGACAAGTTAGATTATGCTGAAAGCTGGTTCGACCATAACCAACGGCATACAAAAATTTGCCTAACAAACACAAAGTACAGCGTCTAGCATTACCATTGAAATCGATGGAGCACGAACACCGTGACGCGATGATTAGCTTCTGGAAAATTCCTCACGGTATATAGAGTGGAATGAGAATTATAGATTTCTGATTGGCGGAAGATTCGATGAGAATGTCAAAGGTCCCGGCGGAAAATTGTTTTCCCAAGCGAAATGCTGGGGGACCGTGGGCGGCTCTCCCTCTCTCAAAGTTTCCTTTGAGACAGCCGAAGGAAGGATACCAACATGAAAAGCCACGGTGCGGCGCGGCGTCTCTGGAAACTTCGATTAAAGTATGATCATTATTCCGACAAATTTTTCGCAAATTTCTCGGCTGCCAATTTCGGGCTGGAACGAGCTCCGCGTTCGAATTTCCCGCCAAAGGAGCGAGCCGACGACTCGACGATTTCGCGCGGGCCGGAGGGGGCAGA